GGCCGCGGGCCGGGGCCGGGGCGGCGCCGTGGGGCCCTCCCTGGAGCAGTTGTTCTGGATCATGAGGTCCTCGATGCCGTGCACGGCCGAGTGGAAGGCCAGGTCGCCGCGGCAGGTGCGGGCGGTGCGGCGGGTGCAGCGGGAGTAGGAGCGCAGGGCGGTGCAGAACGCGGCGCCCCGGCCGGGCCCACGCAGGGGCAGCGTGGCCGCCACGTACTCCGAGTTGCAGCGCAGGATCTTGCACTGGGAGGACACTGGGGAGAAGGGACATCCTTGGGATGGGGGGGACGGGGGTGGGCGAGGGCAGCCCCTGCTCCTCCCACCGGGTCCCACCGTCCGGAGTGATGCAGGTTCCCATGGACACCCTCCCTGGCAGGTCTTGCCTCCCTGTTCCCATCCAACCTTTCCTGGCAGGTCTTGCCTCCCTGTTCCAACCCACTCCAGATTCCCAGGGAAGGCCCTTCCTGGAAGGTTTTGTCTCCTGGCGGTAAATGGGAAATTTCTGAGCTGGAATTTCCCTTCTTCCCGCTGGAACCTCGGTCAGTCACGGAATGGCTCTTTCATGAGGTTTTTTTGGCTGCACCAAGGAATTTGGATCCCCCTGGCATGCAAGGTTCAGTCCCTGGGATGAGTTTGCATCCTCTGGGATGCAGTGTTTGATCCCTGGGATGAATTTGGATCCCCTGGGATGCAGGGCTCAGTCCCTGGGATGAATTTGTATCCCCTGGGATGCAGGGTTTGGTCCCTGGGATGAATTCAGATCCCCTGGGATGCAGGGCTCATCCTTACCATGCCTGCAGAGAAGGAGGAGGAGGAGTGAGCGGAGGAAGAGGCCGGGGTTTCCCAGCTGGCCTGGGCTCCTATGGTGGGCAGCTCTCCCCATTCCCATCCATGCAGAGCCCGGGGGGTCCCTCACCCGCCGGCAGCTCCCGGCGTCATCCGGCAGCTCCCCTGGGAGCGGAGCAGAGCTGGGATCAGAGAGGGCCCCAACCCAGCACTTCCAAGGCCACCAACTCGTCCCCAAGTGCCACATCCCCAGGGAGGGGACTCCCCCGCCTCCCCGTGCCTCCTGTGCCCAGGTCTGACCACTCTTTTCCATGGGAAACCTTCCCTGATGTCCCCCCGAAACCCCCCGTGATGCGGCTCGAGGGGTTTCCTCGGGGTGTGGGTGTGGGGTGTCCTGGTCCCCCCCTCAGCCTGGGGACACCACCCGTGTGACTGGAGCAGCCCTGGGTGCCAGCACCGTGTCCCTCATTCCCTCTGCCCCCCCTCACCTGCCTCAGCCTCCTCGGGGGACGATCCCGCTGCCGGCACCCGGAGCTCCTTCCCTGCGGGACACATGGGGTGTCCTTGTCACCAGCTCTGCCCTGGCAGCCCCATGGCACGAGCCGGGACAATTCCAGCCCCCCTGGGCTCTCCCGTGGGCTCGGAGCCCCCCATGGAGCACGGGGCTCCCCGTTCCTCCTCCTCCCCAGCCACCTTTGCTCCGTCCTTTCCCCCCGCGGGGCAGAGGCGGGCAATGAAATCGATCCTCCTAAATTTAGCCGGGCTCGGATCCAGCCGGGAATGACAGCCGGAGCGGCAGGGGGAGCGGGGAGGAGGGAAAGGGTGGGGGGGGGGTCACAGGAGCTTCAGGAGCCCCCAAAACCCCTGGGGGGGCCGTGGGGTCACGTCACCAGCGGGAGCTTCCCTGAATTTCCTTCCTGGAAACCTCCCACCTGCACCCCTGGGAGTGAGTCCCTGTGGAAAAGCACCTGGCAGGATGAATCGACATCGGGAAGGGGATGTGTCCCCACAGGGAAGGGGATGTGTCCCCACAGGGAAAGCTTTTCCAGTATTTTCTCTCCCAGTTTCCCCCCCTGGGGCACAGCCACGGCCCGGACACAAACACGGCCCGGGCCGATGTCCCCAGGGGTCGATGACCGCTGGGCTGTGCTGGCTGCATTCCCAAAATCCCACCTGCCTGGGGGGCAGGAAGGAGCTGCACCAGCCCCTGTTTCTGCAGGGAGGAGGAATGGTTGAAAATGCCCACGCCAAGATTTCCCAGGTCTGTTTTGGAGGCCGTGGAAGAGGACGGGGATGAGAATCCCAGGGTTGGCAGGGACAGTTCGGTCCCTCAGCGCCCCCAGCACCCACAAATCCCTCTGGAAACCAAGTCCCTGCTGTTTTCCAGGCCTGGCTCTGCCCAGCAGGGAAGCTGCAGTGCTGGGATTGGGTGGGAAGTATTTGGGGAAAGCAGGATTTGCTGAAGAGCTGGAAGAGGCGACGCCAGGTTGGGTCCAGTCAATCCCAAAGGTTCCACCCTTCCTTCCACACCATCAATCCCATTTAGATTGGCATAAATCCCAGCCCTCCATCCCCAGCACCTCCCAGCGCTTCACTTACCCCAGTAAATGCCACGGGACTGGCACCAAATCCCCCCCGGACCCTCCAGAGGCGAATCCCGGTCCCTGGGCTGGCTCTGGCTCCGGGTGGGATCCAGGAGGGGATCCTGGCTGTTCCCAGCCGGGCTGGGAGTGGAGGGAGCAGGAAACAGCTGAGGGTCCTGACAGCCGGACCCGTCCCTGGGAGCAGGAGCTGAGGGGGCTCCACTGGTGTTTTATAAATAACCCGGAGGATTTTTGATCCCCAAAGGAGGATTCCAGTGGGGAGGGCAAGGGAAGAAGGAGGGGAGAGCCCGAGAGTTCCCCTGGATGGTCCTGGGTGGGCCACTGGGAGCTGCCCACCCTGAGGTTTCTCCAGGCACTGGGAAGGACGAGCAGGGTGGGAAATCCAGGGAGACTCCCATTCCAGCAGCCTCCTGGAGCACGGGAGCACCTGGCAGGGGAGCCCCCTCCTCCTGGCTCTGCAGGCTGGGAGATGGGAGAACCCCTGGAGAAGAGAGTGGTGAGGATTCCTCCAGGATTCTCCACCCCAGCGCTTCCCTCTCCCTCCCTGGGGGAGCTCGGAAGGTCCCAGAGATGTGACAAATGTCAGGAGGTGTCAGGACATCTCATTCCTGCACCTGGAGAAAGAAGACCTTGACAGGGTCACCTGGCTCGAAGCTTCAACCCAAGTCCCACAGGAGCTGCTCCCAGGATGCTGATGTGTGGATAAATCCCATTCCCAAGCACCTGCTCCGGGGCAGGGCAGCTGGGGGCTAAAAAAATCCGTGAGCAGGTGGGTCTGGATGCTCTGGAGCTCTGAAGAGGGACCCTGAGGGACCCCTGCCCTGTGCAGTGACACTGTGGGGTGGTGGCAGTGTCCAGCCACTAATCCCATGGGATACTGGGACTGCCAGCAGCCTCTTCTGCCCCAGTTTCCCCATCAGTGGGAGAGGAAGGTCTGGGCTCTGCGTGGCATTGGTGTGGGGTATCAGTGGGTGCCACGGACCCCCATACCCCCTGTGCCCCCTGTACCTGCCCAGGCTCTCTGTACCCCCTGTACCCCCATCCCCACCAAACCCCCTGTACCCCCC